GGCTGCCCGGGCCGGCGGCGGGGGCGGTGCGGCGGCGCCACGTGGCAGGCACTGAGAGGCGGGCGGAGTGTCCGGCGACAACGAACGTTGTCCGGCCACGCGGTGGAGGCGGGGAGCTAGGTTAGGGTTTGATCTGATCCGAAATTTCGGGAGGAGGCTATATTTATAGGTAGAGGGAGCTAGCAGGGTCCAAATGAGGTGCGGTTTTTGGCCACGCGATCGTGATCGAACGCTCTAGATGATGGAGCAGAGTTAGGTGGGTTTTGGGCCAAATTGAAGGGTGTTGGGCTGCAACACACACGAGGCCTTTTCGGTCCCTCGGTTAACCGTTGGAGTATCAAACGAAGTCCAAATGGTACGAAACTTGACAGGCGGTCTATCGGTAGTAAACCAAGGCCGCTTGGCAAGTCTCGGTCCAATCCGGAAATGTTTAATCCCTACACACGAAAGAAAGGTAGAAATGACCACCGGAGAAGAACGAAGCGCCGGAATGCAAAACAGACAACAGGGAAAATACTCGAATGCATGAGACGAACACGTATGCAAATGCAATACACCTGATGACATGATATGATATGCATGACAACGATAACAACACACGGAGACAAAGACCCGAACCCAAGGAAAATAAAATAACTTAACGCCGGAAACCGTAAGAGTTGGAGTACAAATTGGGAAAGTTACATCCGGGGTGTTACAATACCATAGGCTAGCTTCTAGGGTTTAGCCTCCTTGATCTCGTGGTAGATCTACTCTTGTACTACCCATATCATCAATATTAATCAAGCAGGACGTAGGGTTTTACCTCCATCAAGAGGGCCCGAACCTGGGTAAAACATCGTGTTCCCTGCCTCCTGTTACCATCCGGCCTAGACGCACAGTTCGGGACCCCCTACCCGAGATCCGCCGGTTTTGACACCGACAGCACCCATGTAAACATAGCAAGTTTCGTTAACAGATTCAGACTTAACAGAAAAACTGGACATGGCATAAACAAAATTATGAAGGCATGTTTGCGAGCTCGATGCACACAACACAAGGCATTGCATGACAAGCTAAGCATTCTACCAGCAAGAAGATATGTTGAAGAAGCTAACCATGGGAAGAACCAACTCATAGCATGCATGGATCAACTACAACAACCTTGGCAAAATTGATTAACACGTAAACAATCTGCCAGGAACATTTTATAGCAAAAGTAGAGCAAGATTGAGTCATGCTAGGGCACTCCATAAATGCAAAAAAAGACATGGATGGATAGAACATAACAATATCTCAAAATCATCCTTACTGAACATGCTCAAAAGAGGAATGGATCACTCTGTAGCAACATGAATACATGGCAAAAAAATAACATTAGGGAAATGACTTAGAAGAATTCTAAGTCCCTGAAATCAGCAACATCACGAGAGCTACTTTGCATGCTTGTGCTAGTCACCACATTGATCACAAAAATATGTGGCATACACCCCTGTAAAGATGGCATGGCATATAACAAAACACATGTAGAGCTCATGCTCATATGCAGCACACAATAATCATGGCAAAAATGACAAATGCTCATAAACTGATAAGAATCAGCACCTAACATTTTATAGCACTCTTTCAACAACAATTAGGGCATCAAGATGGACTCAAACAACCATGGCACAACGGAACAAAATGAAGAGGACATCGAGATGAACATTTTGATATATCATACGTGCGAAATGGAGCTACGGTCACAGAGTTATGATGCGATGAAGACGGCTAGAAAATGTTACAGGGAAAGGACTTAGAAGAAATTGCAGGTCTGATAACTAAGCGTTAGATAGCTATGACGTGTACATGCGAGGGATAGCGGGGAATCGCTCGCCAACAGCCTTGGGCCAGATCGGTGAGGAGGCAGGTCGGCGCTGGTGGGTGTGTTGGGCCTCGGGCGGAGATGGGCCGCAGGGAGGCCCACGTGAGGCGCTCGCGCAGTCCACGCAGGAGACGGAGGAGGGTCGGGCGCTCCCGATCCTGGCGCAACAAAAAACGGCGGCGGCACTCCGGGAATCCGACGAAGGGCGGCGCCATGGGTGGCAGACCTCCGGATCCCGCCGGATCCGGGACGGAGGGGCCTGTAGGCAGCGGATCCAGACGGCGGTCTTTAGATCAGGCACGGGAGGAGCACCAGCGGGTGGCGACGGCGTGCATGACCGGCGATGGCGACATTGACGCTAGGCGGCGGGGACGAGGCATGGGCGCCGGCGTGAAGGGCGGCGGTGCTCGGGAGACGGGGAGGCGCGCTGCGGGAAGATGCTCGCGCGCCATGCGCGGGGAGCGATCGCGGTGACCCAGGCCTGGGAGGGCCCCGGATGGGCTTGGCGGGCCGCCGGCGGGAGGTGGGAGTTGCGGTGAGGTGGCTTGGGTGAGGTGGCACGCTGCGATTGGGCGCGGGAGGCGGCAGAGCTGAGATGGCGACGCGCGATTGGCCGAAAGGACGTGGAGGTTGGCGGTGGACATGTCCGGCGCGGTGCGGACGCGTCCGGATGCGCGGTGGAGGAGGAAGACTAGGGTTAGACCGCGAATTTCGGAGGGAGACATATATATATATATAGGTAGAGGGAGCTAGGAGAGTCCAAATGAGGTGCGGTTTTCGGCCACGCGATCGTGATCGAACGACCGAGAGGATGGAGGGGGTTTGGATGGGTTTTGGGCCACTTTGGAGGGGTGTTGGGCTGCAACACACACGAGGCCTTTACGGTTCCCTGGTTAACTGTTGGAGTATTAAACGGACTCCAAATGGCATGAAACTTGACAGGCGGTCTACCGGTAGTGTACCAAGGCCGCTTGGCAAATCTAGGTCCAATCCGAGGACGTTTAACACCCGCACACGAAAAGAGGCAAAAAGGAAGCGCCGGAGGACATTGGAGCGCCGGATTGCAAAACGGACAACGGGAAAAATCCTCGGATGCATGAGACGAACACGTATACAAATGCGATGCACATGATGACATGATATGAAATGCATGACACGCAAACAAATGATAAGGAAAACAGCGAATAACTGGAAGACACCTGGCGCAATGGTCTCGGGGCGTTACAGTAGTACCGCAGGAGCTCACGATAGTACCACTTCTTGGACGCGGTAGTACCGTGGCCTCAGGCCTGCACTGCAGCACGAGCGGAAGTAGGGGCAGATGTAATTTTTTACATCCGCGCCCTACGCGGTAGTACCGCTCCAGGCTTGCGGTAGTACCGTGTCGGATTTTTGCATAGATCGTAACTCAGTGGAAGTTGCCAAGGATGTATTTTTATATGTCCGTGCCTTCCCAGCCTTGCGGTAGTACCGCAGGGGGGGCGCGGTAGTACCGCGTCAGCGGTTCTATCGCTCCCTGCCTTAGCGCTTCAGGGCTAGTTTTAGCCCCTGCCGAGCCAGCGTTAGTACCGCAGTGCTTCGCAGTAGTATCGTTTGTCTGGTGCGATAGTACCGCTTGTCGCAGGCTGAGTTGGTGGATAACGGTTGGATTTGATCTTTCACTATAAAAGGGAAGTCTTCTTCTCCGAGTTGACCACATCTTCCACCCCTAAGCTCCATTGTTGCTCTAAGCTCCATTTTCGCCCGATCTCTCTCCCCAACCAATCAAACTTGTTGATTTTCCTAGAGATTGGTTGAGAAGGCCCCGATCTACACATCCACCAAGAGAAATTTGATTTCCCCCACTAATCCCTTGTGGATCTTTTTACTCTTGGGTGTTTGAGCACCCTAGACGGTTGAGGTCACCGCGGAGGCATATTTCATTGTGGTGAAGTTTCGTGGTGTTATTGGGAGCCTCCAATTAAGTTGTGGAGATTGCCCCAACCTTCTTTGTAAAGGTTCGGTCGCCGCCTTCAAGGGCACCAATAGTGGAATCACGGCTTCTTGCATTGTGTGAGGACATGAGGAGAATACGGTGGCCCTAGTGGCTTCTTGGGGAGCATTGTGCCTCCACACCGCTCCAACGGAGACGTACTTCCTCTCAAAGGAAAGGAACTTCAGTAACACATCCTCGTCTTCACCGGCTCCACTCTTGGTTATCTCGTCTCTTTACTCGTGCAAACTTATCTTGTGTTACATCCCTTGCTTGCTTGTGTACTTATTGTTGTTGCATCATATAGATTGCTCACATAGTTGCATATCTAGACAACCTACTTTGATGCAAAGTTTAAATTGATAAAGAATAGCTAAAAATTGTTAGTTGCCTATTCACCCCCCCTCTAGTCAACTATATCAATCCTTTCAGGGGTCCACTGTATGTTACTTTCTTGCCAATATTAGCCAATCCGCATGCAAAATTTTGACAACAAAATATGGGTAGAGGTCAAACCAATAGCAGATCCTATTCTACATTTTATAAAAAAAATAGTCTGCATTTTGTCTAAAGAGCATGTGAATGGATCAGATATTGCTTCTTTTATTATTATTATTTTCTTTCTTTTACCATATATTTTATGTTTCTTTTTTCTTTACTTTTTTACCTTTTTTGTTTATGCTTACTATTTAATTTCCAGATATTATTTTTGGGCTTACATGATCTTATTCAAAGAATATAAAAATATATTAAGAAATACATTAATAAATCTTTTTAAATAAATGATTTTTAATACATGAATATTTCATTGTATACAGGTATATTTTTTTTAAACATGAGTAAATTTCATCTCATATATGTGAACATTTATTATATCCAAGTACATTATTTTTTTGGCAATACATGATTTTTTCTTCTTATTTTTAACATCGTTTCTGGAATATAGTAAATGAAAAACGCAATTTTCAGTGTCATAATGGGCGGTGTGCCAGTGTCCAGCCCATTTAGAAGTTGTTGAAGCGAAGAAATGCCGACTGCATGCCATGGCCCATCTCTGTATCTCTCACGGTCGCACCCACAAACAACATAGCCCGAACCCCTAAAAAAAACATAGCCCGAAAAGAAAACAAGGCCCGGAAATCGTAGCCCAGTCCAAAGCACCTCCGGCTAGTTCCCCTCACCGCCATGTCCGCCGCCGGCGAAGCCTCCACCACGGTCCTCCGCTTCTTCTCCTTCATCGGCGCCGGAGGTGCGCATCCTGCTCCCTCTGTTTTACATTCCTGTACTCATATGCCTTAACCAGCGGGGCTTAACGCATCTGTCAACGCAGTGATCTGCACCAAGGCCATCAACATGTATCTCGACCATGAGCGCAAGCAGGAGGAGGCGTCGGCCGCGGCAGAAGCAGCAGCGGCTGCAGCCTCTTCCGACTCCGCTGTGTTGGTAGCAGCCGACGCGTCTCCGGCGGGCGCCGTCGCCGCCGCAAAGCCCTGACCTCGGAGGAGGGGCCGCCTTTGCTGGTTAGGGTTCTCGCGATGTTGCTTGCCACTCGCGAAAGGGGAAAAAAATAGTAGTTCCACTTATTCTGTTATATGTAATGTGTTGTGATGACATGAACCCATGACCATCCTTTTTTTTTACCATGTGAATTGTGAATGCTGCGAGCTTTAATCCACCTGCTCAACTGTGGCCTGATGAATAATAATATTACACTTTTGTCCAGGCGTGAGATCGCGATGCTTTACATGTTATTTGTTCTATCAGAAAAGCATTTAATGTTGTTCTGTCTGATGTTCATATGGTAATTTGGCAGAACTGCTAATCAAACTATAGGTAGTTTACTGGTAAAACCTGATTTGCAGCATTCTCCTGGTTATAAACGTTTTTCTCTTTTACTTCAACAGTATGCACAGATTGAAGTAACATATAAACACTCTGGGGCTTTTTTCCTGTCGAGATTCTGTGATGCTTAGGATCAACTTTTGCCAAGTATAAGCATACACAATTAGGGATTCTTGATTTGCAGTTAAGGGTTCCGTGAATTGATCTTACAATGGAGAAAACTACATTTATTTCATGTTGCAAGCTCTGTTTTTAAGGCGTCCCTAAGGCGTCGCTTAGGCGACGCCTAGGCGTCAGGGCGCCCCCAGGAGGCAAGGCGTCGGCCTTGCCTTACATGTGTGTCTAAGGCGTCCGCCTTAGTCCTTAAGGCGTCCAAGGCGTCCGCCTAGGCGCCACTCTGCCTGCCTTAGGCAAATAAGGACGCCTTAGACAGAGCTGGGTGGTTTAGGCGGGAAACAGATAACCGGGAGGGAAGGAAAGGGCGGGAAACTTTGTTTTGGCGCCAACAGGTACTAGAGGGAGAGAGAGAGACCTGTAACCATTTTCAGTTTCCCCCCACCCCCAGGCTGGATCTGAGCTTCTCCCCCTCCTCTCTAGCAGCTTCCCCCTCCTCTCCGGCAGATCCCCCTCCCCCTCCTCTCCTGCAGTTCCTCCTCCTCCTCTCCTGCAGATTCTCCATCCTCTCCTGCAGATTCTCCATCCTCTCCAGAACTATATGGGCTCTACAACCATCAGTTGCAAGGTGTGTATGGCTGTATGCCTAGTTGCCTAATGCCTACCAAATTCTACTTAATTCTGTTGCTTACAAGTCTCTAAGGCGTCGCCTCGCCTTATGCCTTAGCGCTTAGGCAGTGAGGCGCCCCCCCAGCGCCTCGCCTCGCCTTACCGCCTTAAAAACATAGGTTGCAAGGGATTTTTAGGATCCTTAGGTTCTTGTTGTTGCTCTATCAGATTCTTGCAGCAACTAGGGTGAATTTAAAATCGATGGAAAAACACTTCTTTATAGCAACTAGACAGCTAAATGTTTGTGTGTTTACCATGTAGGTTTCCTTCTAGACCAGGTCTTGGAACACTCTTGATCTTAGTATGGACATTATCCACTTCCTTGATAACATCTGTGCTATAGCATTTCAGGAGCCATGGTATCATTCTTGCTTTCTATGTGATTTCAGTGACCACGGCAGATTTGATGGTATCATGGAGAGTTTTTTTTAATGGCTATGAATAATTGTTAGTGTAACTGCTTGAGTAGGTGATATGTTGGCAGTCTTCAAATACATACGAGTATTATGTCTTCAGGTTCGCAAAAGGGCTCTTTATAAACTATCTAATTCTTGATTTACCCTGTGGACTTCTCCAATACAATCTGCCTCTGTCAAGTTTGATTCAAGGTTCTTTCCAGGTTTGGATCTGTCGCAAATAAAGTTATATCAAGAAGTTTGGCTGGGTGAAAGGTCATCCAACTATGCAGTTCAAATTTTATTTGGAGTTTGTTGTTTTTTAGTCAACTGGTTTGATAATGTTTACTCAATTAGAACAATAAGTCAATAATGTCATCATAAGAGCGTGATTTCATATTTTCCGTGTATGGACAACAAAGATAAAGTTCTCTGCTTCTTTGACTCCTGGTGATGTCACTTTATATATTTCACATGATTTTGATTATATGTAAGTTGATTGTGGTTTGTTTCTGCTGAAGATTTCTTATCCTAAGTTGTTTGGCCAGAATCATTCATTTCTGGTAGTTGCATGCATTTGTAACATCACCAAGTGAAGAGGTTGATTATTTTGTACGAGCAACTCTGATGGTTAACAGGTTATATATAATATTGGTCCCGTAATTTATTTCTGCTTTAGTATATTTCAGTATAACACGTAAATAAATAATTTTTGAGCACTTCAGAATTTTATTTCTGCTCTCCATCAAATCCGTGCTACTTGTTTAATGCATCTGTATTTTACTTAGAACTTCATAACAAGTAGGATGTACTCAAGTCGCAAGACAACATACCGGGAATATGACACAGAGAGGAATCTGTTCTATGCTATCAGCCACGGTGATTTATGATATTATTATTTTACTTGAAACTACTTAATCATCCTATACTGTCTTTGGTTCTTAAAAGATCTTTTTTTGCAGGTGATGGTATGCTTGTCCCAGAGCAACAACTGTAAGAGTGTTACTGTCACCTTTTGTGCTTCTATTGGTGAACAAAACAGGAAATCCATATACTACAATTGCTACCACAAAAGGGAAACTGCAAAAAGGATTAACAAAGAGCCCTAAAGCTTGATACTCAAGTGAGCAAAGTCTCAGCTCTTTGAGGAGGGAAGAAAGAGAGAGGAGAATAGATTGTAATTGCAGCTCGGAAGATATCACACTTAAATGACATTTCTTTTGGTCGACTTGGAGGACGGAGTTGGAGGTACTGACTCCGATACTGATGGAAGCTTTTCCTCTGATGGACCGTTCCAGCAGATGTCCTTGAGAGAAGGCCGTAGGCCCATTTTGCAGAACCGTTCGTACTCCAATGTGTCTCCTGCCGACTTCTTCACCTCAACAACATAGAAGGATGGAGTCACTTCAAAGATCTCCGCATCAATCGCAAGCTGCCCCTTCCTCCCTTCTTTGGATCCCTGCAGCGTCACCAGTCCGTCCTGCTTCTTCACCTTGAAGGATTCTGTCTCGGCTATTTGCTCCAGCTTTGACACTATTGCTGATGCGGGTTTTTGGGTCATGAACCGCGAGTTCGACTTCTGCTCTTGGTCCTTCTCAAATAGGCCAGAAAGATCGAATCCTTTGGAGAGGGAGATTATGTCAAACGCATTCAAGCTCGCTGGCTTCAGTGCGCCATTTGGTTGTTCTGCCCTTTTGCCTTCACCATCCTTGTGGTCAGTGCTGAAAGCAGCCTGGACATCATTAAGATCCTTTGAGGCACGTGGTGTTGGTGTTCCCAGCATCACTGCTGGTTTGTACCCTTTCTTGAACCACGGGTGCTCAATCAGCTTGTCCATGGTGATCCTAGTGTTTGGATTTGGGTCGAGCAGCCTGGATAGAATCTTCCGGGCATCAGAACTGAACCACTGTGGATGCCTGACATCACCTTTGCTGATCTTCCGGTACATCTCCATCAAATTTGAGTCTTGGAATGGGAGGTAACCAGCAAGCAGAACAAAAAGTATGACGCCACAAGACCATATGTCTGCCTTTTCTCCATCATAGCCCTTCTTGTTGATTATCTCCGGCGCAACATATGCAGGTGTGCCGCACGTTGTGTGCAGCAGCCCGTCTTGCTTCTGACACTCCTTGAGGGCACTCAACCCGAAGTCGGACACCTTGAGGTTTCCATGCTCATCCACGAGGAGGTTCTCCGGCTTGAGGTCCCGGTGATAGACATCACGGCTGTGGCAGAAGTCCACAGCCCCTATCAACTGTTGAAAGTACTTCCTTGCAGCATCTTCCTTGAGCCGGCCCTTGGCTACCCTGGCAAAGAGCTCGCCGCCCCGGACATACTCCATCGCAAAGTATATCTTGCTCTTGCTGGCCATGACCTCGTGCAGCTGGACGATGTATGGGTGACGAACCAGGCGCATGATGGAGATCTCCCGCTTGATCTGGTCAATCATGCCGACACGCAACACCTTGTCCTTGTCAATGACCTTGATGGCGACGCTCTGGTTGGTCGCAAGGCTCCGCGCATGGTACACCTTGGCGAAGGTGCCTTGCCCGAGCATACGACCAAGCTCGTACCGGTTCATGAGAATGGTGGACTTCCTCTCCATCCTATCGGATTCCTGTGCACAAGAGCAGCAGCAAGCTGGTGGAGGTAAATTGGCTGTTCTACAAGCGTCTACTCTGCGCCACTTCGTGCCTCTGTGTCCCTCCCTCCCCGAGAGGGAGGAGAGGTGAAGGGCGAGAGCGCGCTGTGATTGGGGGGAAAACTAATACACGACTGGTCTGTTTTCTCAGAATCCTCCAAGGATGAAGGAGAGGATGGTGGGAGGGAAGAATAGTCTGCGGTGGCTAGAGCTTTCCTCGCGACATGAGGCCAGGAGCTTGGCTCGCCCTTCCCTTTGGAGCTGGAACAGGCCGCCTAATAATAAGCCGGGTACGTTGCGTTGGATGGCTGTGGTTTCTGGTGCTATTTGTAGGCAGGGGGGCCTCACCGGCCTGCTCTGAATGAATCTATCCACACATCCCAGCCTTCCATCCCAGCCTTCCATCTTTCTGTGCAACAATTACATGTGCCTTTCGTGATGGGAACCGCTGCTGGTGCATTGCATTATGTGAATAGTAGTAATTGAATGTCATATCCATGATTGGCTTGTTTAACAAGGTGTGGGGTGGGTGAGGTGTTGGGCCGGTGACCACTTAGCTTGGGCCGCGCATGTGGCCATCACGGCTGATGTCTCCGATCAAAGATGTTAGGTTTTCCGTAATCGACCAGTTTGCCGAGTTGAGGGTGCAACAAGGCATGTGATGAAGCATATGTTTCTGGGGTGGTTTGGCCGTGGTTGCTCCACATCTTGCGTGATCTGGATGCAACTGATGCCAACCTCCCTTTGCTTCTTCCTTTGTTTTTCATTTACATTGACTTTTGACTTAAAATAATTCTCAGTTTTACATTGATCTGGATGCAACTGACCACACGCATGCTGTACATATGCATTCAGGTGGTACTTTTCTTTCTCTCTCAATTCTGGCGATAGGTGTCCAACCTTTTTCATTTTTAGCTGACAAATGGACGGCGGTAAGAAGCTTCCAGGACATTGACCCTAGTTTAGTCTCTTGCCACAGACGTCAGGTGCCATATTTGGTTGGCTGAAACTTATACAGAGAATGCAGCACTCACCATGTCACATCCAATCTATTTTTTTCTTGAAACTCATGTCACATTCAGATGTTGATTAATCAGTAACCCACATCCAATCCATCCCGTTCTGCCCTTGCGTGGCCAGTTCTTCCCCATGGGTTTCTGCGGTATATTTTCGACAACGGAATCGGCATGTTTCAGCCATAGACGAGATCGAGCTGTTCCTTCCCCGACCATGTGATCGGCGCATGTGTGCGGTTAGCCTGCTAAATCCACATGTCAATCGCACGACATTTCTCTCGCCATTGTTGTCTGGCTGTGGCATCAAGATACTCATCGATTGGACATAAATTTGACGCTGATTTTTGTTTCATTTTTTTGCCACACATGAATGTCCAATTTGGTGTGGTTGTAGGTCATGGTCGCAACAAGCTACTCCCTCCGTTCCACAATACATGCATCCCATTTGTCAAAATATAGATGTATCTAGACATGTTTTAGTATATAGGTACATCCATTTTTGAACAAATGGAAGTCAAGTATTTTGGAACGGAGGGAGTAGGTTAAAAATAACACCTGAATGTGTTACATAATTTCTACTAATAATATTTGGCTGCTTGTCGATAGGAGAAATCATAAAAGGATTGATTGATTGATTGGGTGAGTAGCTTCTGAATACTTGGTGCACGATTTCGCCGAGCAACAGAGAGACAGGCAAGAAAAGAACTTGTTTGAAATGGATGAATTGTCATATGGAAAGCTTAAACCATGCATTGGCTAGACCTAGCTTATCACCAGAGCTTTGAATCAGGTGTCATATTTCAGAAACTAAAAACTGAAGGATCACATGGTAGGTAGTAGCACCAGGCACTTGTTCGATTTCATTTTTACACCAATAAAAATCAAAAATAAAATAAATGCTCAGTAGTACATGCCCATGGTATTCCCTCATCTTGAGTAAAGATCAACATGTGCAATTAGATCAGTAGCTGCATCACATCTGTCATTTACAACCTTTTTCCCTGCACGGGCGATCACAGCGCTCAGCCAAAGTTTACAGCGAAATTGTTCGTAGGATCAAGAGGGATCATGATGTTACACGGCACGGCACGTTGGTGCCCACCCAAACAAACGGTATAGATATGCAGCAGCAGCAGCAGCAGCATCCTACTAGGTCGACTTTATGGACAGTAACTCGAGCTCGGCCCACCAGAGGGGCGAGAGCCGCGGCGCCGCCGCCTCCGGCGAGATGCCAAGAACCTCCCTGAGCTTCGCCGTCACGTCTCGCATTGCTGGCCGCCGCGTCGGGTCGGGGTCGGTGCACCCCTCGATCACCTCGCACACGGCCTCCAGCTCGTTGGCCCTGTGTTCCTCGAGCACGGTGTCGACGAGCTCGGCGTAATTCTTGGCTTTGAGATGCTCGGCAGCCTGCGCGGCAGAAAAGAAGTTCACATTTGTACCGATGCAATGCTGTCGGAAATTAAGTTTGGAAGTTTGGGGTTGCGCGGTTTGTTCGTCGTGTTATACCCAGATGCAGGTCGGTTCATGGCCATTTGGTTGTTCAGGAAGCTTTCCGGATATGATCTCCAGCACAAGCGTGCCGAAGCAGAAGACGCTGGCCGCGAGATCGGGAGGAGGCTCGGAGCGACTGCTGCCGTCCTGCTTTGCGGCGTTTGCTCTGTCCGCGACTTCTTTCCACATGCCAACATCAGCAATCTGCAACTCAATCAATGGTTGTTAGTTATAGTGTGGTAGCTGATTGATGAACCATGCCTCCACTGTCTCCGTGTTTCAGAAGAGGAATGAAAACTGATCTCCTTCAAACGGATACCTTGGCAGCATAGTCATCTGTCATAAAGATTGCGTCGGAGCGTATATCGTTTATCGCCACAGGCGGATCGAGCTCATGGTGCATGTACTGGAGGCAGTACGCCAGGCCCATGATGATCCTCATCCTCGCGGCCCAGTCGAGATCCTCAAACACCTTGACTGCGAGGCTAGTAATTCAGTTTGCAGGCGCATATATACAACATACATAGCTTATGCGCAAGGAGGTAATGCGGAAAAAATTCCTTACGGTGAAGATGCTCAGAAAGAGTTCCATTTGGAGCATACTCGTACACCATCATTCTCATGAAGGGTTTATTTTCTATGCAAAATCCAAGGAGATTGACAAAGTTCTTGTGGTTGACTCTTGACAATGTATCTATCTACACAAGGGAATGGGGTGGTTAGAAAGGTTACTAGAATTCACGTTTTTTACTACCTACAACTGTTGTTTATTGTTGGCTACTACTAGAAGATGTTCGGAGTCACCTTTTTTCTGAAGAACGTTTCTGAACTCTTGGACCACTCCTTGGTCGATGGAATGGCAGTGGAGACAACACAGATCTCGACTCCGCTGGATAATGTCCCCTTGAACACGGTACAGAAAGGCAGAGCGTTGAGAATGTTGCTGAAATCCTCGCAAGCGGCTTCGAGTTCTAGTCTGTTTAGCTTTGGAACACCTGAATGAAATAAATTGAGCTATCCAACGTTAAATTGTATTACCTGGAGGCAATGGCATCTCAACAAATATAATGGAAGCACAAGCGTCCTGAGCTGATCATGTGCCAGTTCAAAGTAAGAATATCCGGTGCATCTAAAATACAAATTGTATCACAGAAGACCCACATGTTCATGAAATATTGTCAGGCTATGCATGTATTTCTTATGTTTCTTTCATGAGATATATTGACTTCATAAAAAATAAAAGCCAATAGGATAATTAGAATGTTTGCCTGTTACAAATGCCTTCCGAAGTTGGCCGCTTAGCCCTGCTTTCCAGGGGGCTATTGATCCATCCCCTCGCTTCCGACAGACCAAGATTGGCGCAATAATCAGGCTAATGAGCAGTAGTGCAGCTAGAAATATGAGGACGTAAGTCCAAATGTCATACTTCGCACCGGATGACTCTTTATCGGGTGATTGGGTCACTTCGGCAGGCACCTGCTTCGGTGTTGCAGCATCAACATTCTCTATGGATTCTGGAACCGAAGGCATCAGGATTTGGCCATCCGACTTTGGGAACGCAGGAAATGAACCAGTCCCTAGAGATAGAACATCAGCAGGTCTCTGGATTCCTGTTGAATTTTCCAGGTTATTATTCCCTGAAAGAGCAGGCAGATTGCCAGCTTCACCAAGCAGCCTGCGGCGCATCGCACTTGCTATGGACTGCAAATTCTGCATTATGTGTGACTCGGTAAAACCTGACAGACAAAATATAATTGTTTAATGATGTGTAACACATCAGACAAAAAGTGTTGAGTCTACATCCTGAAAATGCCAAATTACTTGGTAGATTGTTGCAATATTTCCCACGGAGGACGTTGAAAGAAATCCAATTCTTAGACCCCAGCCTGTAAAACGAAGATCTGTTAGGATGTGAAATAAAACTTTCAGAAATGAAACCTATGAGTATTTGAACGCTGAGTTGAGTGACCACAAAAGTAGCGCCGGGCACATCCATGTAGCCACTTACCAGCAACCTAGTTTTCTGCTCAAGCAGCATGTCTGCTCAGCAGCTCCATCTTGTGTGTTGAAAGATGAGACGCCTTCTTGGAACTGATTGTTGTGAAGTGATCTGAAACACAATGGTACTTCATTCTACGAAGCAAAGAAGAGATCACAAATGATGCAATTGGCCTTACAGCTGTTTGAGTAGTGGCATCGTCCCTAGTTCTTTTGGAATTGTTCCATCCAAGTTGTTGGCACTCAAATCCAGTACTTCAAGGGCAGATAACCCTCCAAACTCTCTGGGGATTTGCCCATGGAAATTGTTCTTTGGAAGTAAACTAGACAGAAATAAGAATTAAGCCAATATCACCCAACACATGGATTTCAAATAATATTGATCAAACAAAAGAAGATTTTGCGCAAACGCTTGCTAACGTAGGTGCAATGGTGCATCTAGAATTTTTCATCAAAAACTAAAATCATTTTCGACATTTACAAAATAAACAAGAGATAAGTGAATAGTACCCGATGTGGTTCTTTTGTGTCCTTTCATTTTTGTAAAAAGTACAGAAACTCATAACTTTAAATGAAAGTCTCTAGGTGCACATGATATATAGTGTAATGTATGTCCATGCTTTTTTGCATGATTTTTCGAAACCAGTAAGGCTGCAAGTGCGACATGCAATGCTTGCAAATGCAACCGTTTGTGATTCAGAATTATCCTGACCGAATAAGCTATTATATAGAAATAAGCACCAAACAATGGGATTCTAAATTAACCTCTTATAATCCAGATAAGTGTAGTTAAAATACTCACAGTGATCTTAGGCGTTGTAGGCTTCCAATCTCAGGTGCGAGGGTTCCAGCCAGTTCATGACCTGTTAAATTCCTATATGTTGAAGAAAATAAGAACTCAAGTACATGATGCACAATTAATACACTACCTTAGCTAATCGTATTGGCACAAATGATTTGCAAACATCTTAATTTCAAACGTGGAAAGAAACTATTTCCTGACATAAATTTGGCACAAATATGATTTGAACAATGTGGGCAATTACAAAATTCGGCACTTAAATAATCATGTGGAGGCATTGCGTCAACATTTGGAAAGAAAAAATAGAGGAAAAAAAAAAGAACAGACTTACAGAATCTCCACGTTGCCGTCAGAGCATTGGACGCCGGACCAGCTGCAGGGATTGTTGTCCGTGGGATCCCAGTCATGGAAGACTCCATGGGGATCTCCCTCCACCCTCGCCCTCAGCTCCAGCAAAGCCAATCCTAGCAGATGAACACGATTGCAGAATACAGCACACCCACACCAGTCAGTCGCGGATCATCCATCGATCTCTCTTGTGATGGCATTGTGAGTTACCTTCGCCGTTGAGCGGAGCGGCGCCGGCCCACGCCTGCGCCTGGAGCAGCAGGACGAGGACGAAGAGCAGCATGAGCCCCCGCCGCGCGGCACCCATGGCCACGACGCGGGCGCCTCCCGGCGGCCACTCGCTGGCTGGACACGCCGACGCCGTCCTCGGACACCCGCCGCGGTCTCTCAGAGCGGGGCAGAATAAGACGAGCAACCAAGACGAGGCCGAGGGACGAGCAGCACGGCCGGCCCGGAGGCGCTAGCTCCGGTCGGGCCTTGCTTCAGGGCGGGCTCGGCCTGGCCATCTATCATGCCGGGTGGGGCGGAAGTGGGGGAGGGCGGGACGCCGCGCGTGCGCTGGCTGGTTCCGGCGAGCTATGCGCCGGCGGCCATGGGTGGATGAGCAGGGAGAGGCAGCCGCTGCCCGGATTTGGCCTCCTGCTCCGCGAAAGCTGGGGGGTTGTCCCGGCGGAGCTGGGTAGGTTCCTGCCGGGATGTGCGGTTGGCGGCGGCGCGAAGGGGGGGAGGGGATTTCGCGCGCGAAGGCGATGGGCGGTGGCTAGATTCGGAGGGGGGAGGGAGGGAAGGCCGCGCCCCCGTCCCCGTCGCCGTCGCCGCCGCGCGCGGCAAACCGCAGAAATAGAGCTTTGCCATTTCAGGACCTCTTTGCTTCAAAAGAGTTCTATGCTCCCTCCGTGTCTTTTTAGTCCCCATATATTAGTTTTTATTTAAATTAAAACTTTTAAAATTTTAACTGAGTTTGTAGAAAAATACATGAAGCTTTACAGTATCAAATCAATATTACTAGAATTGTCATCGAATATATTTTCATATTGTACCTATTTGATACTCCTTCTAGATGCTAATATTTTTTCTACAAGCTTGATCAAACTTCAGAAAGTTTGATTCAAGACAAAGCTTCTATGCAGAGTTAACAAAAAAAAGGAGGGAGTATCAGAAATTTAGAGATATTTTGTTTCCAGAGAATTTAAATAATTTTGGGGGGAGTATGTTCTCCGTATTGCGAACAGTGATTTTTCTCCATAATCTAGTTCATTTTTAAAAGAAGATTCTCATAGATATTTTTCTTTCTTTCAATGACAAATATGTCATGCACTTAATATGCCATTTCAGTTCTTCTAGAAAGAATTGTGTGTTTTCTGTGTGACACGACCAAAACATCTTATCGCACATTCAGTTCTTCTATTAGAAATTTAGAATTGAACATGCCATCGCATCCAATTCATGTTCATGTATTTTCAAAACGCTCAAACCAAAAAGGGCCCATCCTACTAGTAGAAATGAAAACAAACCGAGTCGCAAACTCTCATCGTCTTCAAAAAATAAAAATAAACACGCAGGAGCAAATAAGTGTTGATGCAGAGACATTTGGCAACAGAGACAAGTTATATAAAGGTTCAGGCATTCAGAACAGTTCACATTCACGAAGACACGCTGACGAAACGAAACCCAGATACAGAGTTGTTCACAGAAGCTAATAATTACATTCACCCAAACCTGAGCGAAATACCAAACTCCGGGGTTTTCTTAAGTCGCATGATTTAGTAGACAAGCTTTATTTAGCGGTAAACTTGCCCAGCCAAGCTCTCTTGAAAGCCTCGACTCCTGTCAGATGCACACGCAGCTTCACTTCTTGCCTCGCAGCTTTGTGCCAAGAGCCCTTTCCAGCTTGCCGATGATCTGTTGGTTTGGGATAGCCTTGCCTGACTCGTACTCCTGGATGACTTGTGGCTTCTCATTGATCAGCTGGTAATAAAACAATGTGTCTTAGGGAATGAAGGCAGAGAGATGTTACAGATTTCAGGTTGGCAGTGAAGTAAGGTTCATACCTGTGCAAGCTGTGCCTGTGTGAGCTTCTTGTCCGTTCTAGCCTGCATAATGCTCTTCTTCAGGTCTGACGGCACACGCTCATCTGTTGAAGGTAACCCCCAATGGTTACAAAGCAATAAAAGATGTGTATTGTATTGACATTCACTAATAACAATGAAAAAGTAAGGACCATTGAAGGATTCAAATTCCTAGGAAGTAAAATTTCCTACAGTAGCATTCCTATAATGTAACTTAAGTTTTAACAACACAACCCTAAAAGTACAGAATACGCACAACCCATAATGTGAAATCAAATGCAGCAGAATACGCACGGCTTCTAATTAGCAAATTTGCTCTGAAAGGACAGTACAGGTACACTATAGAGGAACTTGTTTTCCTTGTGATTAACAGTTGAATTGGCCACAGATAGAGAATATCAGTAGAAACTAAGAAAAAACTGACTTGTACACCACAACAAATTATGTTTATTCCAAACCTCAAAGAATTAATCGAACAATTGGGTAAGACATGAGTCCATGATAGTAGATCAATTAGGAATAAATGTTGCCTCAATACTGTGGAACACTCAAGCAAGCACAACATGCTTTACTATATAAGTAGATATATACTAAATGCATGTCAACGCACGAGAAAGAAGGTAAACTGATCAACTAACAAGCATACTCATGTATAGTTCCTTTTACCAAAAGGAGAAAAGCTGTGCCATATTTCACAAATATTATTATTGGATTTAACTGAGACGTACACACATCACATAAAAAAATGATTGCCATACACACACATCATATAAACAAAATGATTGGACAATAAACAGCTATTTTAGGCAGTTATTCCTTTTTTTAAATAAACATATATAGAAGTAAAAAGTGTAAGGAACTTACGAGCAAGATTCTCTGTATCATCATCAAGCCTCTTTGTATTGAGCGATGTGGTGCTATGAGCAGCTTTGTTTGTCCCAGCATTATCTGCATTCATCAACAATGTCATCCAAGTTAAAGCAATATATAAAACTCTCATATATCTCAACAAAAGTGTGCAAAAGATATGCACAGATAGATATTCTGATCATATGATGAAGCCTGTCTTTTACAGCACCGTCTATGATACAAGATATCATATACTGATCATGTTCAAGCATTTATGATGGCCATAGCATGCATAAGAAAACTAGAAAAATAACTCATCATAAAAGATAGAGGTATTCCATGACAAGCTTAAAGCCTTAAACCTCTTCAATGGCAACCACTTAACCGACATGAGCAAGAAAGTACTGTTCAATGTTGGCATGAAGTGCTTTATTGCGAAGGTAACCAAGACAACAGACATCACTAACTCCCGTTATCCACAAAAATAAACAGTTAAAACATATGGATCATATAATCCCCACTTAAACACAATAGGTGTGCACTAGGAACTAGGCACATGAGGTGTGCATTGTGCACTAAAAGCATAATTAACACTTCTATTAGTCATGTAGAATTCTGATTATAATTCAGAAAAGATCAATATAACATGGATCTACCAACACAGTAATTTTCAAATCCAAGCTCAACCCACACATCGCCGAAAAAAGGGACAAACATTGCTGTGAATAGTATGAATGCAAAATCATTCTACTTATACAGATCTCGCCCCAATATATCACAGGTTCTTATCAACACTGTTTGATGACTTTACATGCTGCAAAAGAGTGTTGATATTTTAATGTGCACTTGTGCAGTACCAAATCCGAATGCATAATCACATCAGAGATGCAATCAATGAGCCACTGCTGCAATATACAGACTACAAAGATTAAACCTGACTAACCGTATGTAATAACCTCAGATTCAGTGCAAAGCTGCATCATCAACATCAAACAGGTGAATCGTAAAAGAAAAAAAATCTCAAAAAAAAATAAGGTGCTTGGCACTATCAAATAACCAAACAAGAACGTGCACTAGTCGTCTAAACCAAATAGACAATTTATTCTTCCAAAAATTCCTAAAAATTCACCCTCCTTGAATAAAAGGCCAAAGAATCCATTCTACCGAAAACCCTCGCGTGAAACATGAACATTATTCGGATTACCACACGCCTATGCCCAAAAATCAAGGAGGCTCAATCCAACGCCCTAGGATTCGCAGCATCGCACGCCAATCTGTCGAAAAAGCCCGCGCCTACTCGAGGACGACCAGCTACTACGCGGCCAAACCAAATCCACCACCGCATCGAGCGATTTATTTCTACTCCGAGAAAGGGGTTTGGAAGGCCGGGGCCCGGAGGGACGCTTACGCTTCTTGGCGATGTCGATGTCGACGCCGGCGCGGCGGGCGGCGTTGACGGCCTTCTCGTCCTTCTTGGCGGCGGCGTTGGGCAGCTTCTTGCGCACGACCACCGGCTCCCAGTCCTGGGCGATCGGTCCGGTGCGGGACATCTCGGCTTGCTCCGGCTTCGGGGGGACTCGCGATTCGGCGGGGCTAGGCTAGGGTTTCGCCGAGGTTGGAGACGATGAGGATGTGGTCGGTGCGAATGATCGGGGTTAAGGTGGCGACGGTCTCGGGACTCCTCTTGAGGTGAACGCGAGTGGGCCTTTCCGCAAACCTGGTGGGCTGGTAACGTGTCGGAGCGGACGGACCTGGACCTCTCTTTTTGTTCTTAGTTTCGGTCGCAGTTCACCGCGCACCCCCCTTATTCGAGAAACCGGCCCATTTAGTTTTTTCTCTCTTTCGTGACTGCATTTTTTCCTTCATTTCCGCAACGCACGCTCTCGAAATAGGCTTTTGTTCCGCTTTATGGATAAATCAACGATCCATACAAACAACATCTGAAATCGTACTCATAGTGACGGCTGGGGCAACAATACAATCATGCCCAAAGAAAGGAAAGAGAAATCGAAAACTTTCACGTCCGCATTTAGTCTGACCTAGTGGCTGACCGCAACGCACACTCGCTCGTGAAATGAAGCTTCCCAAAACTTTCACGTCCGCATTTAGTCTCTTTTATATTTTTATTATATTCGGTCTTTTTGTTTTCTTGTTTCATGATTTTCTCCAATGTATAAACTTTTTTAAATACATAACTTTCATACAATGCACAAATTTTTTTATTGAATGCGTGAAATTTTCTCAAATTCGTGAAGTTTTTTAAATCCCACAAACTTTTTTTCAACTTTCATGAATTTTTAGCGTTGATTTTTTAATACTTTGTGAACTATTTTTTTAAATCTGATAACTTTTTCTAATTCACGAAATTTTCTCAAGTTAGTGAACATTTTTGAATTTCATGAACTTTTTCAAACCCGCGAACGTTTCTCAAGTTAGTGAACTTTTTTAAAATCTAGCTGCAGAAAATAGAACCGGACAAGATATTGCGGAGAAACTAACACATGCATCTAACAAGAGAGCATTAACAAAACCTACATCACAACACACGAGCAACTCACAAATCTGAGCAACGAAAAAATAAATTGAAATTAGGAACAAAGGAGAGATGAAACCAACCACAACTGCCTGAAGAGCTCCAGACGTCTCACCACCGAACCCTCAAATGAGCAGCGAAGGAGAGGTCCAAATCAAAATCGTCATGTCTCTCCCTTTCTATCTCTCTGAGCTATCATCGTGGAAAAGAAAAAAAAGAAAAAGAGAAAAAGGCGGCTACAAGAAGAGAAAGGAAAATTTTAAAATGAAGGGGCGCTCGACCGGAAGACGCCAGGCACGCAAATTAACTGGTCTATCAGAGAAAAAAATACGGCTCGGTAACAACCAACCAGCCCATAGGTAAAAAGAAAGGGAATAGCATGAATTTCAACATTCCCCTAAAAAAATGAATTTCAACATATAGATGGCGGACAAAAAAACGATTGAACACCAATTGATTTCATCAAAGATCAAACTAAAAACTAGCAAATTTGAAAATATATAATATCCAGATGACCGTGATAGACGATGTCCCCCGTCCCTTAGTCCTTGTTTGTCATGTGGCAAAACTCTCTTATCTTGCCCTTGCCGGTGCCGTTGAGCTCGTTCATCTTCCTCATGACGGTAGTGAATGTGGCCGCCCACTCCCACTGGTCCCTCACATTGTCTTTCACAATCCGCCTCGTCTTTTCAATATGTCCTCAGTAAATTTGCCCTAATTTTCTCTTTAATATATGCTCGGTAAATTTGCGCCAATTTTATAGTATCTCATTGCAACGCACGTGCATCGTCCACGCTAAATTTGCATCAATTTTGTATCCCGTCGCAACCCTTTTGCTATGGCCACTCGAGGGTTTTTGTTTTCCGACACTGAAGAGTCGTTCCCACGATATTTTCACCCAGAAATGATTTTCCACAATCACATGTATCAACAAAAAATACGAAAACAAAGCTATAAATAAATAAAACCAAGTTTTTCTTTTTACGACTGATGATTGACCGTGATGGACGATGCCCCCGTCGCTAGCCTCTGTTTGTCACGTGGCAGAACTCCCTGATCTCGCCCTCGCCGGTGCCGGCGAGCTCGCTCATCTTCCGCATGGCGGCAGCGAACCTGGCCGCCCACTCCCCTTGGTCCCCCGAGTTGTCCTCCACCATCCGCCTCGTCTCGCCGTCGTCGATCAGCGCCCGGTCCGAGCTGAAGGGCACCCTCCCGGCGAGCACGTTCTCGAAGTACCGGCCGTCGAGGTCCCCCGGCGTCGCCTGGTCCTGCGCGACCCATTCCCCCGCCCCGGCGTCCTCGGGGCACCGCGACCGCATGTCGGCGCCGTAGCTCGGGTCCATGGTCTCGTGCACGGCGGGGTGGATCCGGTCCCCGAACGACGAGCAGTGCGCGCGGCCGATGGAGTGCGCGCCGGAGAGAGCGACGAGCTCGTCAATGCCGAAGCCCTTGGAGGCGAAGGCGCGGACGAGGTCGCCGAGCTGCGCGAACGGCGGCGGCAGGCTCTGGCTGGCGTCGGCCGCGTCAGAGGTGAGCCCGTCGCGGCGGCCCGAGGGGACGTCGTAGCTGATCGCCCCGGAGCTGAGGACGTTGGCCGCGTCCCGGGCGGCGAAGGCGAGGATGTCGGCGCACGACACGGTGCCGGGGCACAAGGCCTCGAGCTGCCTCTTCGCCTCCTCCACCACGTCGATCCCGCGGAGGCCGCCGTTCGCCGGCGAGGCCTTCTCGGGGTCCGGGTTGACGGGGCTCGGATCAATGAGGACGGAACCATCGCAGCCCTGTAAGTAATGATGCATCAACAGAGCGCTGCTAGATCAGTTTCTACACACACACACACACACACACACATACACACACACACACACACACACACACACACACACAAAAGATTATCTCCTCACGTTCGTTACATACCTTGACAAAGCAATCGTGGAAGTGGAGGCGAATGAGCCCGGCGCCGGAGCCGCCGTCGCCGAGCCGGGAGACGTGCCGCTCGACGACGCCCCGCACGACGGCCTCGACGTCGACGGTGCAGTTGGTGCTGGCACCGTAGAACCCGTCCTGCAGGGCGGCGTGGGCGGACGGCGGCAGCAGCCCATGCAGCGCCAACAAGAGCGCCACGGCCAAGTTCACGCGTCCTCCCGCCATCTCCTACCGCACGCAATGCCTAATCCAGATATGTCAACTCTAAAAAGAGGAACCGCAATGCAAGTGCAACAGCTAGCTGCAAGATCGATCTCCCTGGTGATGGATGGAGAAGTGCTAGTGATCAGCTAGTGCCAGTGTTGGCCTTGTACGTACGCATTTGTATATTGCGGGGATCTAAGTGGCTTGCTTGATGTGGAGGTATGTATATATGGAGACGCTCATGGAATGTGGCCCGTCGCGTCCAGCAAGCTCGGAACATGGCGAGGATTCTGCAAGCTGCCCGCTGACAATCTCGGCACTCAGGTTGGGAGGAATGATGGACAGCGAGGATCCGCAGATGGGAGAATATATTCTCGGTATCACCAGCTAATTCGATCTGAAATAGGGAGCGTACGCCTGCCTGCGGTTAATTAATTCTTGGCGCCATGTACGGATGCACAGAAGCAGCTACGTACTGGTACCGAAATTCGTATTCCAAGGTAAGTACTAGTGCTATCGAAGAAATGATTCGTACCAGATATCATTTGCGGTTAATTAATGCATCTGAACCGTGGATGATCTGTTAAGTAGTGATTCGCAAAAAAAAAAAGATCTGTTAAGTAGTGAGGTGATATGGCAAAGAGCAATTTTAACAGGACGCGGCTAGCCAGCACCCGTTTGCTGGCTAGCGTCCGCGGGCACACCACCAAAAAGGTAACTACCCTGCCCAGTTATGTCCCAAAAAGGTACACGTGCCCCCTCCGCAAGCGTGGCCTCACATAAACAGACTCCCCCACGTCCGCTCTCTCTCAACGCAAGGCCACAAAATCACTCAAAAAATCCATTCATCAGTGGCGCTCTGAAGAGATTGTTGGGAAATTTGGGTGGCTTTTCTTCCTGATTTAAAAGCAACTTTAAAAGGACAAAGCATCAGTGGCTCGGTGGGACAGGTCTAGCTGCAACTCTTATAGGTGATCAAAGGAGTTGCTACTGGTAAGCAACTCCGGTGTGTATTTAAGCGAGTTTTGTGTACATCAGAGGCAACAAAGAGAGTTAGGAAAAGGGAAAACAAAGAGAGTTACATGTACATGTAGAAAGATGAGGGCAAATGTACAGCAACACAAAAATGGTTCGGACAGGCAACTCTATGGACACTTTTGTGCGACTTATGCATCAGTCATGTGCAACTTAGAAGCTCCCGAGTTTACAAAAAAGAAAGAAAAGGAGGTCCAGTAGTGCAGGCGCCTTTGGGGTGTCCATGTATGTTTGGGTAATTGATCCTCACCAATCCGGGCCTATCGATCGTACCTTCTGCATAAGAAACAAGACATTAGAATAAAAAATAGGATATTTTGTTACTGTGAGAACACATATTTCAAATCTATGTGAGAGAAACCATTCATTGTTAAGCTAAAGGATGCCAGCTGGGAGGTGATCAGCTTCGTCACTAAGCAGAACCGTCCGTTGGTTGCATCACTCTCCAAGTATCTCTGCTCGCACCAAGTAATCCCGCCCAAAAGAGAAGAGATTCATGACGAACCGCTATGAGAGCAATTTAACTACAGGTGCTCCTTTCTCTGGCCTTCTTTAGCTACATTCTCATTCGTTTGTGGTTGCCTTTTTGTCCGACATCTTGTGAGCTATAGTTGGGTAACTATGTACTACTGAGTACCCACCCACCCTCCCAACCCCTCCATGGTGTTGTGCCCCCTTCCTGCAACGCATGAAGCAAAAGTTAGGAAACACATCATGTCGTTTTTAAAGTTGCATAACATCATCTCTAAGTTGCCTAACATGACTAGCGAGTATCCTAACATCATATTTAAGTTGCCTAATATGACTAGCGAGTATCCCATTGCTATTAGTGGTTGTTGTTTACGCAACTTTCATCTTGTACCAGACAACTAGTGATTGTTATTCAGACAACTCCGTCTTGTACTGCAACGACGGACTAGCCATGATGGGGTGGAAGCCGAGGAGCAAGGAGCTGCTGAAGGTGACCACATAGACATGCCTTGTACCAGAAACTGATGGTGTTGATTATGCTACAACCGAAAATGTTCTGCTTGTTTGGTGGACCTAAAGAAGTTATTTCGGTGTATCAAATTAGTGGATAACAAAATATATACGAAAGTTAGGTGATCTAGGCAAGTAATATTTATATGTAGACAATTTATTCTGTTGGAATAGCAATGTGAAAATTAAATCAATTTGTTGCTAAAAAATATCTCTGGGCAACTTGCACCAGCATCTCTAGCAAATAACTATCATGTGTTGGGCAAGTTTTAAAGTTTAAAGTTTTGGGCGAAATAAAACCCAGCACTCTCGGTGGCGGATCTCGAGGCAACTCGCGCAAGCATTTCTAGCAAGTAACTATCATGAGTTGGGCAAGTTTTGAACACTTCCAGCTCAAAATCGTCACCCCACATATGTCGCCGATCTCTGGGCAACTAACTATCATAACTAAGGCAACTTGGCATTACAGTAAGGCAACCTATAACATAATTATTGGTGCGGTGAGCTTATATAGCACAATTAATGTGAAATCTCCCTGATCATATACATAACTCAACACAGAACTACTCTCAAATTTATTGTAGGCAACTATCCGGCATTATGAGGCAAATAATGTGTATATGTAGGCAATTTATTCTATTGGAAATAGCAATGTGAAAATGAAAATCAATTTATTGCTAAAAAATATGTCTGGGCAACTCGCTCCAGCATCTCTAGCAAATAACTATTATGTGTTGGGCAAGTTTTAAAGCTTAAAGTTCTGGGTGAAATAAAACCCAACACTCTCAGGAGCGGATCTCTGGGCAACTTGCGCCAACATTTCTAGCAACTAACTATCATGAGTTGGGCAAGTCTTGAACACTTTATATAGCATAGTGCATATACTAACACAAAAATCAAACCAATGTGAAATTCCCCTGATCAAACACATAATTCAACATAGAACTACTCACAAATCTCCCATAGATACTAGAAAATTTATTGTAGGCAACTTTCTCGCATTATAGGCAAGTTAGTGCAAAGTCGTTGACTAGAAAGAAAGCATACTTTCTGGCTGGAACTCAAATGCATAAAAAAAAGGTACAAAAACTACATTCAGTACATAAAAAAGGTACTATAATCAACCCTCTACTTCCTGGTATATCTCCAATTTAAAAATGCAAAATGTTTTTAACTACTACTCCCTCCGTCCCAAAATGTAAGATCATTTTTGACACTATCGTCGTGTCAAAAGTGGTCTTACATTTTGGAACGGAGCGAGTACAACACTAATCAAATCAACAACCTAGGAGACACGTCATACACATTGGTTATCTATATGTGAGCACCTATGATCCATATTCCAGGCCCCAATGTTCTCCTAAAATACAAGAACAAAACCTATTGGAAATAACAGCTTTTATGCAAATTAAAATAAAATTGTTGCTAAAAAAATCTTGGGGCAACTCGCATCAGTATCGCTAGCTACTACCTATCCCGAGTTGGGCAAGTTTCGGGTGAAACAAACGCAGCTCTCTCAGTGGCGGATCTCTAGGCAACTCACGCCAACATTTATAACAACTAACTATCATGCATTTGGGGAAGTTCTGGACACTTCCGGATCAGCATTGAATCTCGGCATATCATCAACATCACAGAAACACAATCATGAGTGAGAAGTAGAGAGACCATATTCACCTTGACAAGCTTCTGCTTGGCATCATCCATGCCCTGAACATTGTCAAAACCCATCCAGTGCTTCCTGGGCTGGCGACGTTTGTCCGCATTGCACCCAGCCAACATCCGCCTCAAAGAACCACATCAGCAGCAGCAGTGAGTATCACAACCTGAGCAGCGCTGTCAGAATGTTAACCAGGAGCCTCCTGCCGGGTTGTGTAGCAGATCGGTAGTCTACCACACCCTCCCGCATCAGACCCAGCAGGTCGTGTCCACGCCCTCGATCCAACCCACAGCTCTGGGAATGCTGCGCGAGGATCCTTCCTAGGTTGCGTGGCCAGGGAGTTCTGGACTGCAGGGGTCTCGAGGGGCGTGCGAGCAGGGACCCTTCGCCGGTTGGAATCCTCTGGGGCCGGCCGGAGAATTTGTTGTCGTCGTTGGACGAGAAGGGTCCAGATCCGGCGGGGACCTTCAGCCGCGGGATGCATGGACCCGGCCAGAGATCGACGCGGCAGGGCCCAGGACGATGCCGATAAGGAGAGCTGGGATGATTCGCTGCCGGTCTGGGACGGGGCCGCGCCGTGTCGCAGGGGATGATTCGCTGCCGACCGAGGTGCGTCGGCGGAGAAGAAGGTTGGGGGGCTCCAGCGTGGGATTTGACTCGGTGGAGGCGCCAGCGCGAGGCTAGGCCGGTGGAGGCGTGGCGCAGCGGATCTCGCGGATCTAGCCATGGCGGTGATGTACCGTGATGGATGGAGGCGGATCGACGCGCCAGGGGAGGTGGACGGCCGGTGTTGTTTAGAGGCAGGGAAGGGAGTTGGCTGGGGATGGTAGGAAGGTGGGGCCACGTCGGCGGCGATCTGGGGCGGGGGCAGCGTGGGAGGTGGCTGTGGCTGTGGCATGGAGGGAGGTGGTCGGGCGTGGAGGAAGATGCGCTTAGGGGGAGAGAGGTCGTGGGGATTGACCGGTTGAGAGAGGAGTGGGTCGTGACAGAGAGATGCGGTCGTGGATCCGCATTTATTTTCTCCGACCGGCCGACAACTGAGACTCGCGATCAAGATCCTACGGCTGGGAAGGGTGTGTGCTCCGGAACCGTAAAAAGTGCAGCTGCACTAATTAGAATTTGGGATTTTAACATATGCTCCTTCTTACCCCCTCTTTTCACATGGGAAGTAAGAAGGTCTGTATACAGTGCAGCTTGCAAGCTTAATCCTAGCAGTCAAGAGTCAGAAGGGCATAATCCAAGGGGGCTACGAGGTGGCGTGAGAAAGGTAACCATCCTTCGCTGCATAAGTCGGTGCTGCCTGGAATTTCCACTGACAAAGCCAAGTCTCCAGCGGAAGTTTGAA